AATGTTATAAAACAGTATGTTTCATTCAGACTGAAGCACATGATAATGTTATAAAACAGTATGTTTCATTCTGACTGAAGCTCATGATAATGTTATAAAACAGTATGTTTCATTCTGACTGAAGCACATGATAATGTTATAAAACAGTATGTTTCATTCTGACTGAAGCTCATGATAATGTTATGTGATGTGAGAAATGCACTAAAGCCACTGGAGAAAAACTGTAACTATTCAGATCCTCCCCCTCCCCCTAAGATGGCAAAGTGAAGCTCAGCCTGTGATAACGGCCCTATTTACATAACAAAGTTGGCCGTTCACAGGTGATTTCGTTTGTTAGCTAAAATCCTTGGGGTCATTTGACACCGTGGAGGGGATGATAGGTATAAGTGCCAAATGACACCTCCATGCGAGTGCTAGTGTTAAAGCTGCTTTCAATATCTTTTCAAATCTGTTTTCCTTTTCTCCATAGCATGTCTGTAACAAAAGTTCTCATAATCTGAAGTCAGCGTATTTACATGGTTTTATGAAACAGAATTCTGAGAAAAACAGGTTTAAAGATCGACATTCCAAACATAATCATCACAGTCATAACATGTAAATTTTGAATTACTCTGTTATGGCACACTTGTTTTAGTCACTATGTTGTAGAACAGTGGTTCCCAAAGTGGGGGTCCCGACCCCCCGGGGGTTCGCGGGAACCCCTGGGGGGGGGTCGCAAGATGATTTCCACACAAACAAAATTTTTTTTTTTTTTTGAGCAAATATAAAGCCCTTAAATATTTATTTAGCATTTGATTTGATTCAAAAGGACTACTTTTTTTTAAATTGTGTTTGGAGACTATAATATATTTTAATAACGTTAGTAATTTTGTCCCAGTCATTGCAGCGTCAATCAAAATCATCACGTAACACAGCTCACATCATGCGCAGCGACAAAGCGTGTCCTGCTGTTGTTTTCTAAAACTAAAGGTGTTTGGAGGCTACAAATAAATAATACCTGCTTTAAAATGAAACGTGGTTAATATCCACAACAGAAAAACCCGGAGGGGGAGAAAAGTCACTTCTATCAGGGGCTGATGGTGCGAAGAGAGGGAGAGAGGGCAAAGGAGGGAGAGAGGGCAGCGGAGGGAGGGAGGACAGCGGTAGAACAGCGCGTTAAAGAGGCCCGGCTTTTCGGAGTCAAAGGTAAAGAGGTCCGCACATTAAAAGCGGGTGGCCGGTTTATGCCTTTACTGACAGTAACTTTGGAAAGAGAAGCCGCGGGGATGAACCGCATAAAGTAACAGCAGAAAGCGGCCGCCCGCTTTTAACGTGCGGACCTCTTTACCGCTGACTCCGGAAAGCCGGCCCACTTTACCGGTAGGAGAACAGTGAGGGCGAGCCGCAAGAAATGCGCTCCACTTCTGCTGAGGAGAGAGCCCACCAAGCCCATCACTGTGTCACTCACTACATGAGTAAAAATATGCAAGCCTCCTTTTTTGGGCTGGACAGTGCAGCTCGGTAGTGGCGTGAGTCTCTAGAAAGCGTTACTCCGTATCAAGGAAATACATGCTCATTTCATGTGACGGAAGGGCTGGGGGGGGGGGGGGGGGGTCGCGGGCTAAAAACTTTGGGAACCCCTGTTGTAGAAGATTAAAAAGATGTTACTTTGGCACCAATTAAACACACAACACTCATGAATTAGTCGAAAATCAAGAATGTATTGATTCTTTCAATATTCAATTTTGACCTCCTCTTCTTTTTCTTTCTCTTTATAATTTACTGAAAATTAGATATGTATTAGACATTGCCAGTATTATTCTATCAAATCACGCAGTCTAAATATCCACAACCACCAAGCATTTTTAATGCAAGGAGAAACTTAGGTAACTTTAAACACAAATAAAAACAAATGGACCTGTCCGACTCGAGTGTCTATGCTTCGTGTGTCTCTGGTTCTGTCCAAGTGTCTGTGATCCGCGTGTCTCGCGTGTCTCCGCCTGTCTGGGTTCTGTCTGCGTATATGTAAATGTAAATGTAAATGTCTGTCTGTGGTTCTGTTCGCGTGTCTATGGTCCGCGCTCGGAGCCCAGACTGCAGTGCGTTCACTGAGCTGCATGTCAGAGCGGGAGTCACAGCAGCTGGCAGAGCTAAAGCGGACTTAGCCTGCCACCTTGTGGCGATAAGATGTACTATTTTTCACGCAGCTGCGTGATTCCCGAGAAGCGTGAATGAAGACGACAAAACGGAATGGGACCTACTGTATGTAATGCTCAGCTGTTAATGATGTAATGCAAACCTGCGCGCATGCGCGTCTCACGGCAACCAAAGCATACCAAGATGGCGGACCGTGAATTGCTTTAAAAGTTGAAATACGAACGAATAAAGACACGAATGTCACTTTTAATGCAATTTGAGGCGAGATGTTGATGGTTCCGTTTTGTCACATGTGGGTTTTAAGAGTCAAAGTTTTGTGCAAAGTTTAGTTTAAGCAGTCAACTGCGCCTGTGAAACCACAAAGCTAATGTTTTCATAGCAGTCCGCGGCTGCTGACGTAGGCTGATGACGCGTCCTGTGGCAACTCTACACTCTTACACTGGTCTGTCGGGTTGATAATGGAAAATGGGGAAAAAAATCAATCTAATTAAATATTTTGTTTGAACACACTATTGTTAATCATATTAAATACAGTACGATACATGTATTGAATGAAATTTATTATTTCCATTATCAACCCGACAGACCAGTGTAAGAGTGTAGAGTGGCCACAGGACGCGTCATCAGCCTACGTCAGCAGCCGCGGACTGCTATGAAAACATTAGCTTTGTGGTTTCACAGGCGCAGTTGACTGCTTAAACTAAACTTTGCACAAAACTTTGACTCTTAAAACCCACATGTGACAAAACGGAACCATCAACATCTCGCCTCAAATTGCATTAAAAGTGACATTCGTGTCTTTATTCGTTCGTATTTCAAGTTTTAAAGCAATTCACGGTCCGCCATCTTGGTATGCTTTGGTTGCCGTGAGACGCGCATGCGCGCAGGTTTGCATTACATCATTAACAGCTGAGCATTACATAAGCGTCACTTTTTGGCAGAGCGGCACAACTCGGCAGAACACCGGGCTTCAACCAATCTGGAGACGAGGAGCAGCAGCAGCAGCAGGGCGGTCATGTAGCTGCTGCTGCTTTTTCATTGTCATTATTGTTATTTGTAATATTATTTGTATGATTAGTAACGTTCTTACAAAGTACAGTAAGTAACACAATCAATGTACATATACTAAATAAATTACTTTAACTTCACAGTATAAGAACAAGCTAAAGCTGGCTCAGACACAGCAGACTGAAAGACAGGCGCTCCTCCGCGGGAATCAGTGCGAGCTCCAGGCGGGAGCGAGAGAAGCTCCTCCCACCCCGCGTCAGGAGCTTCAAGCACCAAGGGGCATTCACACCGGACCCAGCGTCAAATATTGCGCGTCAAAAGTGTTTTGAAGCTATTGGTCTGAAAGCACCTTTAGAGATAGGTTGAGGAGCTCAGTCACACGGAAGGAGCTCGGAGCAGAGCCTCCGCTTGTCGACAAAAAGGGCCGTAGCCCCTTTTGTGTATTTTTTACCAAGGGGGGTACTTTGACTAATTATTTCTCAAAATTTCCACAATAAAAGTTACAGTAGACCAAAAGTGACATGTTTTGACCTTTTTTAGGCTATTTTGGACGAAAATGGCTACTTTAAATCAATATTTCTCAATATTTCTACAATAAACGTTCCTGGTCTTTGGTACAGTGGTAGAGGGCAATCATGAGGTCATGAATCCAGTGAAATTAGTCGCACACCTTTTTACAGTAAAAAGTTACAGTAGATCAAAAGTGACATGTTTTGACCATCTTTAGGCTATTTTGGACCAAAATGGCTACTTTAAATCAATATTTCTCAATATTTCTACTGTAAAAGTTTCTGGTCTTTGCTACAGTGGTAGAGGGCAATAATAAGGTCATAGGTCAAGTGAAATTAGTCGCACACCTTATTCCAGTAAATAGTTACAATACTTGAAAATTGCACTAGCAGACCAAATTGTGTACTTTATATATGTAAACAATAGTATACAATAGAGTGGCTATCCTCCTGAGGACTCACAACCTGCAGGAGGAATCGTAGGGGGCTGGTGCTATGTGTACCGGGTGGCATCTCTATAAGGTTTTAATCACAAAAACGTGTCTCCCAGACCCCAGCGCGCTTTCTGTTCGATAAAAATGGGTGACTCCGAAAGGATGTTCCGCTGTTACCGTAAGTTCTCAACAAAACGCGCACCGTCTTTTCCCCGATGCGGGCCGCTTGTTCATAGAGCTGAAAGATGCGGGCCACTTTACCGCGGTGTTAATGATGAGGGTCACCGCTGAGATTTTAATATTTCTTAATTCATTCAGTCATTGATTTATTTATTCATTCACTTCTAAAGTTCAAGAAAATGAGTGCTGTAGTGGGTCTAGACACTATAGGGAAAAAACGTGTAAATATGCGTATATTTTAAACAAAATTCTAAAATAAAACTTAATATAAACTCAGTGCCTGTCACTAACAGGCCTTTTGGGACTTCCAACTAAACTTGCTGGCCGGGTTCCATGCTGAAACGGGGCGTGAAACAGGCGGTTTCTGAATATTTCTAGGCGTAATTTTTCATAAATACGCTGGTTTTGAACACTGCATTTCTCAGCAGCCGCAGCTGCGTACTGTAATACTCCCAGGTAAGGAATGCTCCAACAGTGCTCTTCAAGATGCTTTTATTGACAAGGTGACCGAAGAAGCTGCTGTTAGCCACAGCTCACGCTTAACTCACCATTTACCACACACACTGCCGTCGTGTCAACTCGTGGGGAAACCCCCCACCTCTGGGAAACTCTCTCATAACCCGAGCGCCCCCCTGTGGTAGTAAACCGATAACACAGAACTATTACACAGCTCCCCCCTTTAAAAGTCCCTTGCCCTCAAGGGGACATAACAAAATCAGCAAAACGTGGGGGTCTATGCCGGATTCTCCGTGTTCTGACGGGACTGGACCCACAGATAGTTCCTGCCACAGCTGGTGGCTGGGATGGAGCATTAGAGGAAGAGAAAGAGGGATTCTGGCTAGCTAAATGCCTTGGGCTGCTTTGTGGGCATAGCCGCTGTTCAAATGAAGGTACTGTCTGACCCCTGTATGGTGCGAGCCTGTCCCGGTGAAGAACTACCTTCCTGCCTCGAGGGGGAACCTGTACTCTGTAGACCACCTCCCCCACCTGCTCTAACACACGACAAGGACCATCCCAGTGGCTATCTACAGGGCCTTGCGAAAGTATTCGGCCCCCTTGAACCTTTCAACATTTCGCCACATTTCAGGCTTCAAACATAAAGATATAAAATTTTAATTTTTTGTCATGAATCAACAACAAGTGGGACACAATCGTGAAGTGGAATGAAATTTGTTCGATAATTTAAACTTTTTTAACAAATAAAAAACTGAAAAGTGGGGCGTGCAACAGCCGCGGCGCCAGGGATAGGCCCGGGTAGGCCGGTGCCTACCAGTTTTTTTCTTGGCCTACTCAAATTTGTTCTTCGCCTCTCAAGTCATTAGCCTTTTTATTAAAAGTCATAATTTTAATATTGTTATTTTTATACACACATTATTGCCTAAATGTTGCGTTCTAATGTTTTAAGAAAATGTAACCCCCTGGGCGTTCACGTTGCTTCAAATAGTCCTGTTTATTGGCTGAATAATTTTGTCCAATAATCTGCATGATCATATCACGCAGCGCAAAGCTCGTTCCCGAGAACAAGCAGCCATTCCTCGTCTTTAAGATTGACAACGCTCTCAAAACATTCACAACAGAGCAGCCTTTTTAGTCATTTTAGTTTTAAGAAAGTTCAGCGTGAACTTCGTGAGGTAGAGGAGCCAGAGGCCCGGGCCCGTAGGTCCCAGAGGAGGAGAGCGCAGTCAGGCCAGGTTCACCTCGCACTGATGAGGTAAACCCCAGGCCTGTGTGAGACACAGGGCCTCATGTATGAAACTTGCTGTGTTTTCATTGAGCATCATGTTTCAAAAGTTGAATTTGCGCATCGGAAAAAGTCTAATGGAAAAATGCAAACTTCGAATAAATCACAGCTCATGATCAGGACCCTCTATTAAATCTGACTTGTGTGTGTATTATTTTGATCTGTATATATTTTTTAAATGTGAAGCGGTTTGTGATCCTGAACTGTGAAAGGCTCTATATACAGTAAATACACTTTACGCAACAGGGATGTGTGACCCAGCTATTGCTGTGACAGGCTCTGCACTGCGTAATTACGCACGGCTATTTGTATTCCTCACATCTGGTAAAGCAATGTGTTATTTCATTAGATTTGTGTTAGCCTCACACAGACACACACCCCAATAACGCACCGATGGTATTGCTCACTCCAAATGTCTCACTGCCCTGTCCAGAGTGCAAAAGCGAGTGCCGTGAGATATCGCGCCACATAACTCCTCAAATGTGCAGAAGTTTTGGCTTCAGTTTCTTTGTGAAATCTGGACCGCAAACACTCTCTGAAGTGTACAGCGCTTCAATGCGCACTTCTACCCCGAGCCAGGCTGCGTCCAAGACACTGCAGACGCTTCATTCATGAGAGCCACCGCTGCATAATAAATATGAATTCATTCATTCAATCAATCTATATTTATTCACTTCTACAATTCAAGAGAGATTTTTCTAATGTATCAAAACTATTTTTGCAAATTTGTGCAAAACGCAGCTGAATATATAGCGTAAATTTATTTTTACATAAACATAACAAACAAACGTGCCTTTTGAGGCTTCCAACAGTCTTTTTGGACTTTCGTGCTGACCTGTCGCGAACATTGCTGCATAATTCTAGGCGTGACTTTCATAAATACGTTCGTATTCAGCCGATTTATCAACACCCGCAGCTGCGTATACGCTCAGATCTGGGCTGATCTCACACATTCATAAATCCGACGTTGGATTTTGCGTGAATGGAATATACACCCCAAATGTACACATTTTTCTACGCAAGTTTCATAAATGAGCTTGTGTGTATGTGTGTGCTTGGGTGCGTGTGTGTGCGTGCGTGCGTTTGAACCATATTCTTTGAAACCCCAATTCCAGCTACCCCTTGTAGTTTGCGTGCGAATTTGGCCTACTTACTAATCTGCAGGCCTACCCAAAATTGCAAACCTGGCGCCGCTACTGGCGTGCAATATTATTCGGCCCCTTTACTTTCAGTGCAGCAAACTCACTCCAGAAGTTCAGTGAGGATCTTTGAATGATCCAATGTTGTCCTAAATGACTGATGATGATAAATAGAATGGACCTGTGTGTAATCAAGTCTCCGTATAAATGCACCTGCTCTTTGATAGTCTCAGGGTTCTGTTTAAAGTGCAGAGAGAACCATGAAGACAAAGGAACACACCAGGCAGGTCCGAGATACTGTTGTGGAGAAGTTTAAAGCCGGATTTGGATACAAAAAGATTTCCCAAGCTTCAAACACCTCAAGGAGCACTGTGCAAGCAGTTATATTGAAATGGAAGGAGTATCAGACCACTGCAAATCTACCAAGACCCGGCCGTCCCTCCAAACTTTCATCTCAAACTAGGAGAAGACTGATCAGAGATGCAGCCAAGAGGCCCATGATCACTCTGGATGAACTGCAGATAACTACAGCTGAGGTGGGGATGGTGTGTTCAGGGTGATGAGCTGTGTTGCTTTTATGCCAAACATATCGTTTTGCATTGTGGCCAAAAAGTTTGATTTTGGTTTCATCTGACCAGAGCACCTTCTTCAACATGTTTGGTGTGTCTCCCAGGTGGCTTGTGGCAAACTTTAAGAGACTTTTATTGGATATCTTTGAGAAATGGCCACTCTTCCATAAAGGCCAGATTTGTGCAGTGCACAACTGATTGTTGTCCTATGGACAGACTCTCCCACCTCAGCTGTAGTTATCAGCAGTTCATCCAGAGCGATCAAGGGCCTCTTGGCTGCATCTCTGATCAGTCTTCTCCTTGTTTGAGATGAAAGTTTGGAGGGACAGCCGGGTCTTGGTAGATTTGCAGTGGTCTGATACTCCTTCCATTTCAAACTAACTGCTTGCACGGTGCTCCTTGAGATGTTTAAAGCTTGGGAAATCTTTTTGTATCCAAATCCGGCTTTAAACTTCTCCACAACAGTATCTCGGACCTGCCTGGTGTGTTCCTTTGTCTTCATGGTTCTCTCTGCGCTTTAAACAGAACCCTGAGACTATCAAAGAGCAGGTGCATTTATACAGAGACTTACACACAGGTGCATTATATTTATCATCATCAGTCATTTAGGACCATATTGGATCATTCAAAGATCCTCACTGAACTTCTGGACTGAGTTTGCTGCACTGAAAGTAAAGGGGCCGAATAATATTGCACGCCCCACTTTTCAGTTTTTTATTTTTTTTAAAAGTTTAAATAATCCAATAAATTTCGTTCCACTTCACGATTGTGTCCCACTTGTTGTTGATTCATGACAAAAAATTAAAATGTTATATCTTTATGTTTGAAGACTGAAATGTGGTAAAATGTTGAAAGGTTCAAGGGGGCCGAATACTTTCGCAAGGCACTGTAGTTTAGGGCAGCGTCCTTTCTTTCTTTTCGGAGTGTAAACCCAAACTAAGTCCCCAGTACTGAAGTCTTTACCTTTACTTCTCACATCATAGTTCCTTTTCTGTCTCATACCAGCTTTTTCCAACTGGTCTCGAGCAAAAGCATGAGCCGACTCCATTCTATCTTGTAGTTTTCTGGCATACTCTGGTCCCGGCACGTCCTCCAGATCCCCTGGGGGACGTCCATAAGCCAAAGCTGCCGGAGTCCGTATCTCTCTGCCCAGCATCAACAGAGCCGGGGTACAGTTAGTGGAGTTCTGGACAGCAGATCGATAGGCCATCAGAACAAGGGGAATGTGTTTATCCCAGTCACGCTGGTGAGCTGCAGTGAGGATTGCCAATTGCTGCTGCATAGTGCGGTTGAAACGCTCCACTAAGCCGTCGCTCTGTGGATGCAATGGTGTGGTACGGGTTTTCTGCAAGTTCAGCCGGTCACAAAGGGCTGCAAAGACACGTGACTCAAAATTTCTGCCCTGGTCACTATGAATGATGTCTGGGGTACCAAAACGGCTGAACATGCCCTCCAGCAGTGTATCTGCCACTGTCTCTGCTTCCTGGTCTGGCAGGGCATAGGCCTCGGGCCACTTTGTGAAATAGTCCATTGCACACATCACATATTTATTTCCCTGATCTGAGACTGGGAAAGGGCCCATAATGTCTACAGCTACCCTCTCCATGGGCGCACCAACTGCTTGTTGCTGCAGGGGGGCATGGGACTGGTCCTGAGGCCCCTTGTAGGCAGCACACTCATCACACCGACGACAAAAGTCCTCGACATCACGACGGTGCTGGCCCCAATAATATTCCTGACGCAAGCGATACAGTGTCTTAGTTGTCCCAAAATGACCCGAGCCAGCCCCTCCATGACATGCCCCCAGCACACCATCTCTCAGGGCCTTGGGCACCACAATTTGCCACCTCTCCTCCCCAGTCGCTGGTTCCTTCCATCCCGCTATAGTACTCCCTCCAAAACGCGAAGTGTTTTGAACTTACTCCATAGGCCCTTAGTAAGTAAGTAAGTTTTTATTTATATACCGCCTTTTCACTGCAGATCTGAGTCTCAAAGCGGTTTACAATTGTTAATTTTGGGCATTTGTCTCTCACTCCACACAGAGATGGGAGCGGGGTCGCCAGTACAGGAGGCGCATGCTAGAAATATTGGACATATTTTTAGTGGTAGGGGAAACCGGAGTACCCGGAGGAAACCTACGCAGACACGGGGAGAACATGCAAACTCCACTCAGAAAGGCCCTGGTCCGACCGGGATTCGAACCCAGGACCTTCTTGCTGAGAGGCGAGAGTGCTATCCACTCAGCCACCGTGCCGCCCGGTAGTAGTAGCCACTGAAAACCCCATAACACCCTCCCAGGAGGGTCTCTCACCCCTAATTACCCACTGGCGCACTGGGCGCAAGTCACTGTCCTTTTCTTGTTCAGAGGCCCAATCAGGACTACCCTCTACCTCTACAGAGCAGCAAGCGGGCTCAGCCACGGCAGCCTCCCCTCGCAGTTCCTCCTCTCTGGCATCTCTCCGGTCACAGTAGCCACACCCGGTTGATGCACACGGACGCCGAGACAGGGCGTCAGCATTAGCATGTTGTGTTCCAGGGCAATGCACAATCTCGAAGTGAAACAACTGCAGCTCCTCCAGCCAGCGCGCCACCTGGCCCTCTGGTTCCCTGAAAGACATCAACCACCGCAAAGCTGCATGGTCTGTTCTGACAGTGAATGGCACACCACACAAGTAATATTTAAAATGCCGGACAGCTAACACTACAGCTAACAGTTCACGTCTTGTTACACAGTAGCGCCTCTCACTTTTGTTAAACAACCGGCTAAAATAGGCTACAACGCGTTCACCTTCAGGGCCGGTCTGTGACAGCACAGCCCCCACTCCAGCATCACTAGCATCAGTGTCAAGTGTGAAAGGCAACGTGGGGTCTGGTGGGGTGAGAACAGGTGCATTAATCAGGGCCTGTTTAAGAGTAATGAATGATTCCTGGCAGTCAGCTGTCCAGGTGAAAGAATGATTTTTCTGGAGGAGGCGAAATAGAGGAGCCCCAATACAGGAAAAACCCCTAACAAACCTTCTATAATAAGAGGCCAGCCCCAAGAAACTTTTGAGCTGCTTCTGATTTCCTGGGGAGGGCAGTCTCTGATAGCCTGGATCTTTTCCTGGAGCGTGCCAATGCCCTCACCATCGACTTTGTGGCCCAGAAACTCCACCTCCCTCCGCATGAAGTGGCACTTATCCGGGTGAAGCTTTAATCCGGCTGTCGCAATCCTACCAAGCACCAACCGCAGAGAGTCTAGGGCCGCTCGGAAAGACTTTCCATGGACCAGGACATCATCCAGATACACCAGGCACTCCTGTCGGGGAACATTAGCTAGAACACAGTCCATAAGTCTCTCAAATGTCCCCGGAGCATTACAAAGCCCAAAACTTAGAACTTTGAACTGCCAGTGGCCCCTGCCTGTGCTGAATGCGGTCTTTGGCCTTGAGGCAGGGGAAAGAGGGACCTGCCAATATCCGCTCCTCAAGTCCAATGATGTGAACCATGACGAGCCTGAAACTAAATCCAAGGTCTCGTCCACGCGTGGAAGTGGATAGCAGTCCTTCCTTGTCACTTTATTCAATGGCCTGTAGTCCACACAGAACCTCCATCTTGAGCTCTTCTTCCGAGGGACCATGACCACAGCTGACGACCAGGGACTGTCAGAGGGTTCAATTATACCAGCCTCCAGCATGGCAAGGACTTCACTGTCCGCAGCCTCTTGTCGTATCAGGGGTAGGCGGCGAGGACGTACCTTGATAGGCTGTGCATCCCCTGTTTCAATGTGGATTGGAAACATTCCCAATCAGCACAGGTATATAGCAACGGAAACCCACCTCTGTCCAGCCCACTGTCTCCACAGCATCTGCATGAGGGAATGTAACGCCGTCTCCCCCTTCAGGGAAGAACAGCTGCTCCCGGTCGACGGTGGACAGGGCCTGTGTCTCCCGGGCTACACAGACCCTCTCTCGTTTCCCCGTTGACCTTTTGCCTCCGGGCAGCGACGGAGTGTGGCCGGGCTTGCCACACCCCTAGCAGGAGGGTGGAAGGTTCAATGGGGACTGCGTGTCTGCACCTCTCGGTCTCACAGCGAGGTTCTTCACAGCATGGATCAGCTCCTCCGCCCAAGCGGGTTTATACTCGGGCTCCACCTTAGTTGCAGCAGTGACCATAAGTTCAGTACACTTTGAGGCACCAAATGCAGTCTCTCTCTCCAGAGCTAACTCCAGCGCCTGGCTGAGCGACACCGGATGGATAAGCTGAACGTGTAACCGCAGTTCAACTGGGGTCAGGGCATGCACAAACTGGTCCCGCACAAGCTCACTCTGGATCACACTTGGCAAAGTTGAATATGCACGTCTGCCCAGGCTCTCAATCTCATGCGCCAGAGAGCGAAGGGACTCATCCGGCCGCCTCACTCGGTTCTTGAACTCACAGCGCAGGGAGTCTTTTAAATTGAGCACTCCGAAACGCCTCTGCAGAGCTCCCACCAGCATAGCATAGTCCTGTCTCTCATCTGGAGACAGAAGCAACAAACAGGCAGCCGCCTCTTCAGTCAGGGATAAAGCCAATTGCACTGCCTTCCTCTGGCCCGACCAGCCCGCTGCCGCAGCCAATAGTTCAAACTGGGCCAGATACGCCTCCAGATTCCCACTACCCGAGAATTTCAGAGTCATTGAGCCTGTTGCAATGAGCGGACGCGCGCCGCCATCTTTGTTCACATCCAGACTCGGCTCGCGTGCCCCCGCTGCTGTATCCCAGCGCCGGGAATCGGAAAAGTCCAGGTAATTGGACATAAGGTTCTCTGGCCGCACCACTGAGCAAGCTGGCATCTCAATAGAACACTCGTCAGCCTCTTTCTTCACCTGTAGCCGCGCACCGTCCATGGGAAACATCTTCACTCTCAGTTTCAAAGCGATGAGGACGAATCTCGAACTTCTGACACCAATGTAATACTCCCAGGTAAGGAATGCTCCAACAGTGCTCTTCAAGATGCTTTTATTGACAAGGTGCCCGAACAAGCTGCTGTTAGCCACAGCTCACGCTTAACTCACCATTTACCACACACACTGCCGTCGTGTCAACTCGTGGGGAAACCCCCCACCTCTGGAAAACTCTCTCATAACCCGAGCGGTAGTGGTAGTAAACCGATAACACAGAACTAACACAAACCGATAACACAGAACTATTACAGTACGCTCAGATCTGTGTGGATCTTAAAGTGGTTCTCACCCCCGCTCCTCAGAGCTTACGTTACTCACATTTCCTGTTAAAATCTTCCTCTAAATGGGCGTAGCCTGGAGGACTAAAGGGGGCGTGAACGAGACAGGGCCGTTTACATTGCTCTGGGCGGGGGGCTGCTGACGTCAGGTCCAACTTGCAGACGTCAGGTCCAACTTCTGTGCCAGTGTTGGCGCCAGATTCAAAATTCAAATGTAGTAATACAGGTCGCCAGCAGATGGCGCCTCACAGACGGTTTTAGGCAGAAAGTCTAACTTTCAACTAATTTGCACCAAAGTGACAAGATTATGACCAGGATATGTAGACAACACTATTGGACACTCATTTATACCGTTTATCAGCAAAAAAAAAGTGGATTTGAGGGTGAGTTGTCCTTTAAACATTCATAAATACCACGTTGGATTTTGCGTAATTGGAATCTGCACCAGAAATACTCACCCTTTTCTGTTCAAGTTTCATAAATGATATGAATTGATAAATGATAATTCCATCCGACAGCTTTGTTCTGAGAAAAAAAAAAATGCATAGAATTGACGTCCAGGGCTTCGGAGGCAGAATTGTCTTGGACTCAGTGTTGTTTATACAATAAAAGACAACACATTCTAGAATGAAAGAGAATAGAACGAGGTAGTAGCAGTAGTAGTAATTTGTTAATTCCCTTTGTTCACAACTCAGACAATACAGATCATTTGAAAAAGAAAAAAAAAGACTGAAAGGGTTTAGGCTGAAGTGAAACACTTATAGAAGCCTTTTACTATAGCTTACTATAACCAGAAACAACAAAAAGGGCAACAGTCAGCATTCAGCATTGAGAAAATAATAGAAAATACATATTTATTTTTGCAGAAAATACAATGAGGGATTATACAAATTGTATAGATGGATAAGTCACAAACAATATTTGGAAATTATAATAAATAATAATAGGTATAGGTGAAGTGTGAAAGTGCAATAGCTTGAGCAACTTTTGATATTTTACGGTTAAAGTTACTAGACAAATGAATTTCCATTGAACAGACGGTAAAAGACGCTAGCGGCCTGTGGCTAATGCTAACGCTAACAGCACTAGCATAACACACACTCACCGATCGCACGGAGCAGGAGCAGCTGCGGTGGTAGAAGGAGCTCTACACGGGGATCATGCAGATGTTCCCTCTGCTCCAATCAGCTGCTGACTTTATGAAGCACAAAGATCGAAGTGTTTCCAAAGCTGCGGATCACGTCACCTCCACAAACGAAGCTTCAGTTGTGCAGATGTATTTAATGGTGCAGTTCTGGAGACAGCCGACAGATGGCGCCGTGTGACTATTTCAGTGTGAGCTCTCCTGCTGTGAGCTTTCACTGTTTATTGTTAGAGCTGTTCATATAAAACACTGTTCTGTGGAGAATCAGGACATACATCATAAATGCACTTGTATTAGTGACACGGAGTGCGTCAGGGCGGGCTGTTGTCTCCTCTCCTGTTTAACCTGTACATGGATGACCTGTCCCGGTGTTTGAATGGCTGTAGAACGGGCTGCATGATTGGTAACACACTGGTTAACCATTTTATGAATGCTGAAGATCTGGCTATTCTCTCCCCGAGTAGTGCTGGCTTTCAGCAGCTTTTGAATGTATGCTCCGAGTATGGGGTTAAGTTTGATATTAAAAATAATGCCAAAAAGAGCGCTGTACTAATCTGCCGCACCAAAGGGGACAAACATCTTTGCTTTCCAGACTTTTATTTGTCTGGTCAAAAGCTAGGTGTTTGCAGTCAAATTAAATACTTGGGCCACATCATAATTGACCGACTCTGTGATGATGATGACATTAATCGCCAGTGTCGAAAACTCTACGCTCAAGCCAACACCTTTCCCCAAATTTCACATGTGCACAGTTGATGTTAAAATGAAACTGTTAAAAAATGTACTGTTCACCTCTGTATACAGCTCCACTGTGGTGCAGATATAAGAAGGCTGCACTACAGAAGCTCAAAGTAGCCTATAATGATGCTTTCAGGATTTTGCTGAAAAAGCCCAGGTCCAGTAGTGCTAGTCTGCTGTTCTGTGAGAGTCGTGTGAACTCTTTCCAGGCTCTCATGAGAAATATGATGTACAGGTTTATATGCCGTCTGAATATCAGTGAGAACTCTTGTGCAGTCTCTGGTGAACCCCAGTATTAGTTCTGTGCGCTCTGGTACAGTTGTCTTTTATAATTGTTTTATGTTGTGTTTGTGATGTGGTGTTTTGTATTTTATGGACTTTGAGTCTGACAAATAAAGATAATAATAACACCAAGATGCCCACGTGACAACCATGTGTTCACTTCAATTCTCTTTATCATTTTGATGAGGAAAATGAGAAATGAAAAATTTGCTAGATATTTAGTCCGTGTACTTTCGTGTTCAATACATTTTCTATTTTTGAAGGGAAAGGGATAATCAAAAAAGGTCTATTTTGCACTTTCAGGCACACAGCAATATAGAAAAATTACCATTTTGTTTTTTTTCATTGCTTATAAGACATGTATATCATAATAACCAGATTTGGGAACTAGAACATGCAATAATCAACCTTTTTTTAACATGTATTTAATACATTTCGGAATCAATCGATTACCCGGAAGTGAAACAAGTTTGTTTACTTCGGCCCTATTCGTATGGAATTAGTAATACCTGTGGACCCCTGATGATTTGTGATAATCCCGGAGGACGTCTGAGATTTTAGTCCAGTGCGAATGCACCATGACTGTATTTTGTCTAGTAATAATTCCGCCACAAATTACCTCCTGTATTTGTCCAAACACAGACGTCATGTGATAACACTAATCCCGTGCGAAGCTGCATGTCAGTGTTTGTGATAACTTTCACTTTACTTTCTGCGTTGTTCATTTGTCATTGAGAAGAGTGGCTGTGTGCACATCTGCGTAGTCGCGGCTGCTGCTGTCTCTGTGAGATCTGTGGAGAAGTGTAGAGGACAGTGTAATGTGCTCACTGACACTAAATGATCAGTCCGATGGGTTGTGTTTGTACATTTACTCTGCACTCTGTCCTAATACAGTACAGACGTGTTGATGCATCTTACTGCTTGTCAGCTCACGCATATGTTGACAGAGTATCTAGTGCGTTCACGGGTAGTCCGTGCAAACAGCATTCTTAAACATAACAGATAGTACGGGCCTTAGATTTGTTGAGCAGTAAAATCCACATGTATATTCGTCTTCATCGTCTCTGTGGCTGCTGTGGTCAGAAAACCAGTCTTTATGAACAGCGTAGCGGAGACCCGAGCAAGTGTGGCCGTTATGTGAGATGTCAGTGAAAATATAGCAATTCACAGACATTGCTGATTCCGTTTGATTACACTGCAAGATCTCAGACGTCCTTCGCGATTATCACAAATTACCAGAGGTCCACAGGTTATACTAATCCCGTGCGACAAGGGCTGAAGAACAAACTTGTTTCACTTCCGGGTAATCGATTGACACCAAAATACATAATAAAAAAGGTGAATTATTGCATTTTCCAGTTCCCAAATCCGGTTATTGTAATATATTTGTCTTATAAGTGTAACCGAGAAGGTCTAGGTAGTGTTGTAAAAATGTATTTAGCTCTGAGAGCACACACGAGAGACGCTTTTCCAACTGCAGCCGTACCGGCTCTGGCTTTATTTCTCACATTCAAATCATAACAGCATTAACCAAGGGTGGCCACTTAATTGCCTGATGTAAAATCCTAAACAGTATGTTACATATGTCCCCCCCTTCATAAGAAACGTCCTCGGTTCATAAAATAACCTGCCTCAAACCAGGGCCATAATAAACAAAAGCAAAAAAAAAACACACAACAAAGAACAATTACTCTGCCCAACTCAAACTACAAAGTCCTTGAGGTGTGAAGGGGCTTTAACAAGACGTCCCGACCGAGACTGCTGCGGCTGGGCCAGCGCTGGCTCCAAACTTGCCTCCCCTCCATGCAAGAAAGGGTCCGATGCGACAACCCGACTAGCAGGGGACCGAGCAGGGAGCGGCAGAGTGTATGGTTTGAGTCTGTCATGATGAACCACCTGACTCCGCTCCTGAGTATCCAGCGGATTAATGATGTCATAGGTTTGAGCTGGTTCACCCCCTGACGAGAATACCTGCACCACCTGGTACGGGCCCCTCCAATGCGGCGCTAATTTAGTACGGCTCTCCGTTGGATTGTTCAGCCACACCAACGCTCCAACACCGTACGGCCGATGACACACTGTCTGGTCATGGTAAAGTTTTTGTCTCTCAGAGGCCTCCAATGCATGAAGCCTGGCCGCACCAAATGCAAACTCCAACCTTTTAACTAACATATCTCCATAGTCAGACACAGATCCCGCCCCCACAGAGTTGAACACAGGGTTAGATACAAGAACATCTGCTGGGACCCGGGCCTCGCGGCCATGCATCAGATAAAAGGGAGAAAACTTAGTGCTAGCATGGGGTGAAGTGTTATACGCAAAAGCAACCTGCTTTGTAAATCCATCCCATTCACCCCCTTGAGACAGTAACATCTTAGCAAGTTGGTCAATCAATGTCCTGTTATGGCGCTCCACCATGCCATCCGACTTTGGGTTGTACGCAGTCGTGTGAGTCTTCTTAATACACAGTAGTTTACACAGAGTCTGGATGACCTCAGCCTCAAACTGGCGACCCTGGTCAGTGTGAAGCATCTCAGGAACCCCATGTACCAACACATAGTCATTAAACAAACAGGTAGCAACAGTGTTAGCTGTCTGATTAGGCAAAGCATACAGATCAACATACTTTGTAAAGTAGTCCTCTACAACTAAAACATACCTATTTCCCCGAGAGATTACAGGTAGCTCTAAAATGTCAGCCGCCACACGCTGCAGAGGACGACACACCTGCATAACCCCCATGGGCGCCCTAGGCTTAGGAATAGGCGACCTGCGAGTCTGACAAGCCCTACACTGCTCACACCACTGTCTTATGTCTCTAAGCATAAAAGGCCAGTAGCAAGACTGCCTCGCCTTCTCCCAGACCCAATCCACAGAGAAGTGCGCAGTAGCCGGCCCCCCGTGAAGATGCTGGAGTAGATCAGGGACCAGAGAGGACGGGATGACAACCTGCAACCGCTCCAGGCCGGAGACTGTGGGGCTATCTGTCCTACACAGCAGTCCCTCATTGATAGAGAAGCGACCAAATTCAGCCCACAATTTCCGGAGACAGAGAGAAGACCCCTTAACTTCCCAACGAGGTGGCCGACCTACTCCCCTCTCTAACCACCCGAGCACTACCCTGATGTCTGGGTCATCCTGCTGCAGGGACCGCAACCTGGCCTCATCACAGCAGAGAGAGTACACTGGAGAGGAGGGTAACGACTCCCTAGCCTGGTCATGACTATTCGCCCCCCCAACATCAATCACATTCACACAGTCAATGGCAGGAGCTGTGGCCTCAGCAGGGCGGCGGGACAACGCATCCGCATTCAAATGCCGTGATCCGTCCTTGTGGATGATGGCCCAATTAAAGGGATCCAACTCCAGGATCCACCGCCCCCTTTTACCAGTAGGGTCATTGTCAATGGACATGCCACGAAGGCCTAGTAGAGGACGATGGTCAGTAACAATAGTGAATGCTGACAGCTCCACATAATGTTTAAACTCGCGCACAGCCCAGACAACCGCCCACAGTTCACGGTCAAAGGTGGACCAGCGTTTCTGGGTGTGAGTGAGGGCTTGACTGGCGTAGGCCACTACATGTTCCAAACCGTCATTCTCCTGCGCCAGTACCGCCCCAACAGCATCCTTTGACGCATCGGTGTAAACTTTAAAGGGGCGAGAAAAGTCTGGTGACACCACTACAGGGGAGGAGGTCAGACGATGTTTCAAAAAGGTGAATGCTGCCTCACACTCTGACGTCCATTTAAAAGGGACATTTTTACTGGCCAGATGATTGAGTGGAGCCGCATGCTGGGAAAAGTTCTGCACAAAACGTCTATAATAGGAGCACAGGCCCACAAAAGCACGGACCTCAGCAGCAGAGGTCGGTGTCGGCCATGACCTCACTTTATCAGTGTTCCGAGGGTCCGGGTGGAGACCATCTCTAGACACCACATGTCCCAAAAACACTACATGGTCCTTTGCAAAATGACATTTGCTGCTGTTCAATCTCAGTCCGGCCAAATCTATTCTTGTCAGCACCTCCCCCAAATGGCCAAGATGGTCCTCAAATGTTCGACTGAAAATCAAAATGTCGTCCAGATATACGAGGCAGGTGTGCCAGGGGAGACCACGCAGGACTAGCTCCATCATACGCTGGAAGGTGGCAGGCGAATTGGACAGGCCCATTGGCATGGCCCGCCACTGTTATATTCCCCTACCGGTCGTGAAGGCGGTCTTTTCACGATCCTCCTCGGCAACTTCCACCTGCCAGTATCCGTTCGAAAAGTCCAATGTGCTGAACCACATTGACCCGGCCAGCGCATCCGTCTTAATGCGGTTACAATCTTTAATTGTAACCGCATTAAGACGGCGGTAATCGATACAGAACCTCCACTGACCCCCTTTTTTCTTGACGAGCACGACTGGTGAGGCCCAGGGACTGAAGCTCTCCTCCACCAGGCCATCTGCCAGTAGCTGACCCACCTGACGCTCAATCTCTGCCCTTTTCTCAGGAGACGTCCGATATGCCCGCTGCTTAATTGGGGGGTTATCACCAGTGCGAATGTGGTGTTGGATTAAAGAGCACTTCCCAGTGTTCCCATCTGGGGTACTAAACACGTTACTAAAACGACTCAAAAGCTCCTGTAATTCAGCCCTCTGTCGCTCGTTGACTGGAGAGTCTGTGACCATACACGGGACAGAAGATTTATGTGAAGTGGGCACCACCGATGGTGCACCAACCTCGTGAATAGGATAAAATTCCCCTATGTGCAGCCCTTGCTTGAGCTCCACTGCTTTCCCAGAGGGATTGAGAACACGCGCAACAGTAACCCCATTCTTCACATTAGCCACGGTATGAGCTACGACTAAACCAGCCGAATCAGGGACATTTGGTTCCAAGTAGCCCTCAAAGTCAGTTACTGGCCTGTTAGCACCACCCGGTGGACGCACATGAACTGGCACCAAAGCCTCACTTAAGGGAGGTATAATCACACCATCGGCCAGAGATACATTGCAGCACTCAGGGACAAGCTGAGCCTGGTAAAGCAAGGGGAGGCACGTATCACCGATCTCCAAAACCCCCCGCCCCAGGTCGAGCAACGCCCTGTTCACTGCCAGAAAGTCCAACCCCAATAGGACCGCCTGAGTAGACTCCCTCAGCACATGAAAAGTGTGCCGCCAAGAGGCCCGGCCCAAGTGAAGAGACACGTCTACAGTGCCCAGTGTGTCTAGTGTGTCCATTTACTGCCCGTGAGCCAATAAAGTCCTTCTTCAATGGCCGTCCGCGCAGTGTGGGAACCGCCATACGGAAATCGGAACTAATTAAAGACACAGAAGCCCCAGAGTCAACCAACACTGACGCTTCCACCCCTTCAATGACCCCCCGGACGTAGGCAGTAGGGTATTTTTCCAACCCCACATCTACATCATCTGTGAACATTGGGCCCTCCCGAGGAAAAGCCGGTGTTTGGGCCATAACACCAGCTACTGGAAGTTTCCCTGATGCTCGGGATCCCTGGGAGAACTCTGCTGCTGGAAATGAACACCACGCCTCCAGGATCCTTCCTCACGACGGGCACGCCATCCGGGGCTGGGACTCCTGCTTCGTGGTGGACGGAACTCGGGAGACTGGCCTGTACGTTGTGGGGTGCGCGCAGCGAGATTACCAGGGGGGGAAACAGCTCTGCGCTCGGGCGAGCGACCTTGACGTCTCTGCATTGCCCACCTTCCTTGACAGCCAGGCTCACCGCAGGTGCACTCACAACGTCCCCCAAAACCAGACCGGCGCCCCACGAACTGCCTCTGGCCCATATCACTGTTCCTGAGTCTCTGGTTTTCTTCATAAACACTCTTCATTTCCATCCTCATAGCATGCATCTCCTGGCTTAATTGATCCACAGCCTTATATAAACTGTCATTGGACGTAACAGCCTGAACCACAGCTCTGGACTCAGCAACATGGGGATTGAACGGATAGTTACTCACACAGTCCCTCTGTAGCGCCTCTCTAGCGTTTTCGCATCTTTCCGCGATAGTCAGCGCCTCTTCTAAATCAGTGGCGCCTTGCTCCAAACACTTGCTCTTCAACGCTGGATCCAGACCTGCGAGGAAGCGCCAAAACTTCTCCTCTCTGCGCGCCACGACCCCATAGTCCGGGAAAGCCTCCGCCACCAGGCGACTCACATCCACTGCGTAGACTTCCAAGCTCTCGCCCGCAGCACGGGGACGAGCCGAGAGGGTGGCTCTGAAGCGGTCCATAAACTGTCTCTGTCCAAATGCGCCAGCGAGCTTCTCTTTCACGGCAGAATAATCATGCTTCACTCTATCCGGAAGGCTGTCCCACAGGAGAAACGCTGACTTGCATAAACGAGTGGGCAAGATACGAACAACTTCTTCATCACAGTCCGAACCGGTGCCCACAGTAGCCTGGATGGCCACCTCCAGCTGTCTCACCCAGCCGAGAAAACTTTGGCTACCATCTCCAGCAAAGAGCGGAGGCAGATCCACTCTCACGTTCCTCACGGGAAAACGCTCCTCGGCCTCATACTTTGGCTTGAAAGGACTTTCTTCTCAATTCCACATGTTGACAGGTAACTCACGCTAAGCACACAACTGCCTAGCGTATCTATTTCCTAAGTCGGACACTTCGGGCTTAAAAAAGGCACCGGTTACCCACTTCAACGGGCTATAAAAACATCAACTTAACTTTCGCGAACGTTACTAGCATAAAACGGAAGTTAAAAGTGTTAGCTTTCGAACGATATATATGAATAATGCCTTATTTAAATGTGGTTTTCTATATGCTGTTGAAAAGACAAAAAACATCGATGTTTTGGCTAACCGGAACTATTATCCTGAGTCGGACTCCTCAGTTCCAGAGTTTGTACAGATTCCATTCGAATAGATCCATGGTTCCATCGCTCTCTCACGGCTCCGCGGCGCTGGCGCATAGGGTCCGAAATGACTATATTTCAACAGTTTTGCATTAACTTTGGGTAGTGCTAACTGGTTAGCACAAAGATCTTGTCTTTAATAACAATTTTCCCCTGGTCCTTTCGTTTTTAAATATATTTTTTACACTCGTAAAATGCCACAAGCACACTTGAATTGTTTTATAATTTTAAGATTAAAGTTTCTAAATTCTTCTTTCCCCCAACTAGAAAACTTAAAGGGCCTATATCACGGTTTTTGACTTTTCTCTGCTTTAAACATGATTACAGTGCTATTTGGCCTTCATACACAAGCCCACAGTTGTTTATTCATTGATTCTGTCAATCTTTTGTAAGAGAACAATCTGTCTCCTTCCCCAGCGTGAGGCACAGAAACGCTCGGGTCCACTTCAGTGACGAAAACCACACTGATGACGCGCATGACCCCGTTTGCTTTGTATTTAAAATAGTTGTTAAATACTTTTGTCAAAACGGGGTAAACAATACACAATTAGTATGCCTTTTTTTGTCAAAAATAATAAAATAAAAATAAATTAAAAGCCGTTGGGAGGTGATTGACGGATCAAAACAGCGAATCAGAGCGCACAGGCTCCGGCTCCCGAGTCCAGCGTCTGTGGTCTGGTCTCGCGGACACCACATAGAGCTGCTGTTTTTATGCTTTTGTCAGCGACTAAAAGTGTTAGGATCACGTCAACTTGAATGAAGTGTGTTATGGGTGTAAATATGTGACACACTATTTGGCCCTAAGAGGAAGAAAGCGGCTCGACTTTTTTCATCTGTTCATCTCATGGATCTATTATAATACTGGTTCATCTGCAACACTTCACTGAGACTGTTCCAGAACTACAGGGACAATGGAACTGGACTTACTCAAAAGCTGATCTGGAAACACGTTATTCCCACGGTAAAAGACGTAACTCGGACCCCTCGATCTGTAAGTAGTGACACTAACTTGCTGTATACTTCTGTAAACTAAATAACTAGGGTCTGATTGTGCATCGAGGACATAGGGCTCGATGTGACGGATTGTCATTGTTGGAAAAAGTTTATCCTTATGTATGAAATTACTAAGTACAGGTGATAAACGACAAAAGCGTGATGCTACGTCACCGTGCGGGCGGGGGGAGGCGGGCTCACAGGCAGAGGAGCAGACTCTTCTCTGGATCAGCTCGTTTGAGTCGAGGTGACGTCACCTCTATACAAGAGATGGCTCTAATCTCACAAGCTTTGATTGTTGTGTGGTGTATCATACACATTAATATCACACATGTGTATAGGATTGAGTGTGAAACATGAAGAAAAGCGTGATATAGGACCTTTAATATAGGTAGCATTCACTGTAGTAGCCAATTAACAAAAATATAAATAAAAAGTATTAAATTATGGTATTAAAATGTTACAAAAATAGCTTTAGCTTACAGTAATACCAAAGACAACCTTCCCAGAACAAGCTTTGAAAAGATGCCATTTACATGTCAACATTATTTGTTATAAATAATCTTTTATTGAACACATGAAGTCATAAGGTAATGGCACAGAATTTTAAAAGTGGATAAAAAATGTATAGACATAGAGCCTTGTTTGAAACCCCTGCAGTGTCTCGGTGCCTCACCCAGCTCTGCTCCAGTTTGTCATGATGTGAACTGTTTATATCTGTAAGTTTAATGCTCTGAATGTTATTATTGTTATGTTAATGTCACATATGTTTGCATGTGTGCAAAGCTTACAAACATCCCTAACCATGCCTTTGTTTTAACAATAGATAATGTTGATGCACAATGAAGGAAGAGCTGCCTCCGACTGACAGGAACTCAATCTTCACACCCAAAATACTCCAAATATCCAAGTTGAAAATTCAATGAGATGCTTAAGGGATGCAGGCAGGAGATGAGAAGAAGTGCTTCAGGTTTTGAGGATGAGAAGGGTTATACTGTAAAACAAGAACATGAGAACATTAGAGAACAATAAACCATGAAAAGTGAGTACCCTCTTGCTTTAGACAGTGTAAAGTGTACAGGTATTCAAAAGTTCAAAGGTTGTGATGTTAGGAGTGAGGTGGCATGTATCCCTCTGTACTCTGTACTTGTACTGCACTAAAGAAAATTACCCTCAAACCTCCAATATAAGCCCTGGTCCCTGTGACCCACAGAGGGCCCTAGTCCCAATGTTTCATCTTGTAGATCATGACTTAAAGCATCAGCTGATTGCACTAATGTAGCTGGTGAGATTGTAAACTTAGTCATTCAGTCAACTTCACTTCTTGGTGGAGACCAGGAAAGACCCAGGACATGTGTCTCTCAGCTGGCCTGGCAACGCCTCAGGATTCCTCCTGATGAGCTGGAGGAAGTGTGTGGAGTGGGACGTCTGGGCATCTGCTCTGACCCTAACGGGAAAAAAAGGAAGAACATATTATATTTTGTATGTTTTTCTCATTAATTGACCACTGTGTATGTATGCAATGAAAGAATGACCTGTGAAGCATCTTGTTGAGTGCCCAAAAACTACACAAAACCGATTAATAATAATAATAGGGCTCGAATATGTATATTGTTTTAGCACTAGTTTTCAACTATTTAAATAATTAACATTTAGTCTTGTGACAGTGCCAGAGTCTAGATATGAAGTTGTAAATGATTGTTTACTAAAATAGTTGATTTTTGAAATTGGTCAATCATTTTTAAAATAGTTGTAATAAGAAAATGATCATTAAATGGTTTATTGAATCTTCGATAGTCTTTAACATGTGAGGAGAGGCTTAGTCTCAGCTAACTCCATATTGACTGCAGAATGAAAGGAAAATGTGTCTACAATCCAAGCAGGAGTCATCACTTGGGTCAAATGGAGAATGGGTAAAACTCTTTTTGTTATAACAGCCTTAGTTTCCATTATTCGTTGTCACACAAATAGTAAACTAATACTCAGATCTATGTCTCACTGACTGCAGGAGAACATGGACCAGTGGACTCACTCCTTCACTGTATCCAACAGATCAGTGAGTGGATGCAAAACAACTTCCTTCAGCTAAACGCAGACAAAACTGAAATGATTGTCTTTGGTCCCCAGAAACAAAGAGCGTCATCTGTCACCTCCAGTCTCTCTCCCTAAAACCTTCAAACCCGGTCAGAAATCTAGGGGTAATACTGGACTCAGACTTAAATTTTAATAGCCACATTAAATCAGTAACATCAGCAGCTTTTTACCATCTAAAAAACATTGCCAGCGCAGCAGACATGCGTAACTTTTTCCCATGTTAACCTTCCTCTACACTGCTCCATAGACTACACAAGGACAGCATCAGAAGCCGCGGACCTGCACGCACGGCCAGTGTAGATACTGCAAAAAAAATTACGCGCAGTCAACGCTTACGCGCTGTTAACGCCTACTGTGTAAATTCCATGTGATGAGAGGCATGGACACAGCAGGTCTTTGCTCCTCCGCTGAAACCATCTATATCCAGACACGAACTACAGTTTGTGTCTGGATGCACTAATAATTTTGCTCACCTTCTGCAGCTGTGATGATTGGGGTTCTTCAGGAACATGCACATGTGTCATGTCTGGACTTTGCCACCGGTTCTTACTAAGGCCATGTCTGAGACTCCAGTCCTGAAGGAGGAGATAGAGAAGTTAGCACTTTATTGATCACACAGTGGCAGAATTTCACCTGACAGCTGTTGGTTAACTCGTTGTGTGCCATTGACGCACTAATACGGCAATTGCGTTTCTCTATTTTCATGTTCCCAGATGTCTATTATATCTAATATGTATGGGGATTCGCTTGAGAGCATTTTTTAAATCAAGCCAGCAGGTGGCAGTAGCGCTCTGGATTGTTTAAAAACAGCTAGATGCACTTATTGTGCCTCGTTTTTCTCAGCTTTTTGGTGATTTCAGTAAAACTTCCCTCTACTCGACTGGGGATTACAGGAGAACGAAACAAGCTAGAAACACAATTCTTTTTGCTGCTGAAGTACAGTCCATTCTTTCAGAATCTGGTTTCGGATTCCAGTCATAGTACACAATATTCTGTGGGTCTTAAAAAATCTATAAACTCATCAGAAACTGCTGGCAATATGGGAGTACCTGTTCTGAGATAGACACTCATTGCCTACCAGCCTATTATTGTATTTCCATTCATAAACAAGAAAGGAGCCTGCATGCTGTCCTACTTGAATGGCTTTAAAAATGTATAATTTGTAAATACATTCGACAATGCAAGTAAGGCAGTGTAGGATCTTGTGAGAGGCTCATACACTTTTGAATGAACTCAATAAGCAGAGCCTTTATTTGAAGAATATCTTGTACAGTTATA